TAAGACAGTGTTGTTGATGAATGTGTTGAGTGCTTTCTTATACCGTATCGATTATTTGTGATTGTGCCATGCTGTCAATGCAGTATCGACAAATTATTGTTTTTAAATATGGGATTATTCTTAAACGGTAGTTTATTTACGCAGAAAAGCTTCCCCGCATCGCCAATACAATGCCATCTGTCTTCCTGGCTTCTACGTTCGCACACACGATGAGGTCATGGCAACCGAATACATCCTGAATCCATTGACTGGGGTGTTATATAGAATCATACATTTTCGTCCATCTGCCTATTGGCCTTGTGGACCAATATTTTTTCCTAAAGTAATTTTTCGCCAATGTCTGGCCTGTTTGACACTATGGCGAGAGACCTCGACGCACACCGCGGGACGTATTCGGCACAAAGCAGCAACAAAGTACGAGACATATTATTGGTTCTATCGGTAAAGTCACGTAGAAGGGAAACAATAAAATAATAAAAATGTAAAATAATAAATCAAAATTTTAAGTACGAGACTCCCACAGTGCGTCCCTGAGGATCACTGTGAGTCATCCCATCCTCGCCTGTCATCCTAAATCCAGGGGTCGACGGCCTTGCATCTGCAACTATTTATGTCCCCCTGGTCTCCTGTAACAGGTTGCAGGTGCCTGACCTTGTAAACCAAAACCACGTCCATTTCGCTGTAAAGTCCTTCGCCCCTTTGTCTCACTTTTGGTCTCTTGCCCTCCGTCAATCTCACGAGCGTCGCACGGAATCCCACCGAGCCCTCTTGTCTCACTGCGTGTTCCAAAAAATGTTCCCTTGTTCGTGGCTTCGACCTTTATGAAGTTGACAATTTTGCTCTTCCATTCCTTGAAATGCGTTTGTCATTCGTCATTCTTTCGAGCCGCCCTAAGGTCAGCAAATCTCTTTAGAATCCACGTTTTAGTTCTGAGTCAGCTTTTGCTCCATCGATTTTACTCATCCTCCGCTGTGAGCGTTTGTTCCGCCGCGTACGATTAAAATTAAATAAAAAAAAAAGTTGTCCATCAACCCATGGGCGTCGTGGATCTACGACTTTCTCTCGGAATTAATTTCAGCACCCCAAATCTCTGCACGGGTTTCAACCTTCCGTGTCTCACCGGCGACGAATCCCTGCTGCCTTTTCCCGATGCGGCATTTTACGAGCGACAGCGTCGAAACGTTTAACCGTATTCTGTCATCCCAAAAAAAAAAAACTCGCACGTGATGAGAAGCAAAAAACAAAAATTGTACGGACAGCAATCAGCGACGCGCACTCGCACAGCCTTTGGTGATGTGCGCGCGTTGTACCGGCCTCGCGGTGCCGACGCGCGCGTGACGGCCGCGTGGGCTTGTTACTACAACGACGGCGAGCCGGCCGCGGCAAGCGACGCGGCACGGCCGCAGATCCACGCCGTCAATGCTCCTCGCTCGCGTCGGAGGCGGCGGGAGCGATGAGCGGTTTGACGGCGCGGGTGTGCGGCCCGCGCTTCGCCGGTGCCCGCATCCCAACGAAACGCGAGAGTCGCCGAGCGGCAACCGCGGTTCGTTCGCGGAAACTTCTCCGCCGTGAACTCGACGGAGAATCTCTCGGTCCGTAGGACTTGGACGACGATGCACCGGGGGTCAAGGGCGGGGCGGGGGGGGGGGGGTTGGGAGGGGGTGTTCGCGCCGCTCAAACTCCACGCGTTAGCGTTGCCCACGAATGTCCATGGCAACAAGCTGGGGCATTCACGCACACGCACGCACTCTGGCCTTTAAAAAACAAAAAACAAAAAATGAGCAAGGAGATTATAGCCGTCATCCCACGTGACATTTTTATGCGTGTTGCCTCTCCCCCACAATCGCACTCGGCTTAAGGAGGTAAGATTGAAATGATGCGAGGTGGTGGAGGGCCGTGGATACTCGTGTGCGCATCCCATTGTGTCATTCTGAGAGCCCGCATTCCACGAACGTCCCTCTAGACAGCCAAGGAAATTTGAATTTTATCCACGCATGACCTGTCCTACATTAATAAGGGCGACGTGGTATGACATTGGAACACGACGCTTGCTGGGGCGGTGGGGGGGATTGGTAATAGCGGAGAGTTTACGAGCAGTCCCATTGTTCAAAGTTGCTCACCACGCTCACGCTGTGGCATGTGCTTTGATTTTACAATGGTAATTGTTGCAATTCTCTCATTTGTCGAGGAGAACCACACTGATTCGTAGGACTCTTTTTCAAGAGGGTCCTGCATTGGGTTTATTTATTTATTTCAAGCTGTTTTAAGCCATTTCGTACGTGTGGCTGAAACTCGGAGCACCCATAGAAAACCCTCGCACGCATGAGAGCAGCACTCTATCCCAGTAGAGTTCGATACGGATCGTCATTACTCCACTTGCCTTCTCCCAGCGAACCGAGATATTGCACCTCGTCGATGTCCACGGGAAGGGAGTTTCACAACATGTGTGTGATCCACCAAACCTGGCCTCAACAGCGCAGGATTGCAGCCGTGCACAAGGTATCTGCAGCGTGCAAGCGATGTTACCAACGCATTACATTGACATCTGCCAATTACTATCAAGTGCCCATTCCTGGACCACAATTAGAGATTCTGTTTATTTTTAAACGCCCATGACCACTGTATCTAAAGTCACAAAAAATGAATGCTGAATTTAATGACCAACAGCAGCGTGCAGTCATGCACGTTGCTGTGTGCACCTTTAACCCTACAAATGATTCCTCACATGTCCCTTGTTCGGAGTACACAATGCTTTCTGAAACCCATCCAGCTTTGGCAATATGTATACAAAATGAAATAAAATTGTCAGCGTAATTGTCCTGTTGCAGGGAGCGTGGGTTGTCATAGTCTCAACCAATGATGTCAGACGTTTAATTGATGTACCCGCGGTATACAGTGGTCTCCCGAAAAACATTGGCAATCGTACGGTAAGAATTGTTTTAAATTGCAATTTTAATTGTATAAATCGTCAACCGATTTTTTTTCCCCTGAAAACAAATATCCATTATGGCTAAGCTTTGTATGGATTTAAGGATGCGTTCATTGGCCAAATAACAGCTGATGTACAGGACAGGCGGTAATGTGAATGCATGTGATTAGGGAACATCAGTAGTGCCTTTGGTGGTTCATCAGCTATGCAACGAACCCTTTAGGTACGTGCACACAAAGCCAAAGAAATTAGAGTGAATTGTGAAGAGCCATTGCTTGATGTGGAGATTGAATTACTTTATACTCCTCCAAGGACTCCAAGTATATTTTAACACGTCCTTTATTATCACAAATACGACGTAAATTGGCAATAATAGGCTTCAATAAATGGCAGCGATGGAGATGTGGCCCGTCAGTTTGGTAGGGGTTTTAGATTTTATTCAGCGTGACTGGATAACACGCGGGAGAGGCATGGATGGCCACCAAGCCATGCGATGTCTTGTCAGCCCCTAAACTGCAGATGTATCTTAAAATTACGTTTCACTTCTGCGCGTGCATGTGTGTGGACGCGCACAAAGACAGAGAGATACGCCTTATAGCCTTTAACAGACTATTGGGCTATACATACTGGGGAGACAAAGACGACTGGGCGTGGTTGCTGACCACCCACCCCCTCTCGTGTGCCGTTCTAGCCTTCATAGGTGTTCGCTAACAACAATTGCCCCAACAGTCTGTTACAGGCTATACGGGGGGCCTTTGTCTTCGCGTGATCGCGCGCCGCGCACACACACTGAGGCTATTCATTCGCCATCCACGAGTTAACCCATTCGACGGCCGAACGTGACGGCGCACATGCGGTTGTGTGATTGCCCTCATTCACGAACCCGCGTTTCCTCCTCGCGGCCAATCAAACCTCTTTCGAGCAGTAAACGGTGCGTTCAGTTGCTTTAAACTGCTTAATGGACAAAGGCATTCGAACAAGAACGTCGCTGCGCGTTAACATCGCTGAATGGGGACGGCGCTCTGTTCGGTCGGTGTAAAGATCAGGGTTAGACTTTGCATTGGTGGGGAAATGTACATTTGTTAAAGTTAGGGGTATGTGCTTAGGTGTCTGTGTACAGGTTCAAGAATAGCGAAGGACCAGCCCCAGTATAATTTGCAAAGGCTAATTCCAAACCCTGCTACGTAAGTAAGTAAGTACAGCACGACTATTCGGCAGCTCCGCATCACGCGAGCAAAACTGCGCGTATGAGGCCAGATATGTGGGCACCGCCGAAATAAGCTGCTACTGCTGCTGCTGCTGGTAGTGGTGGGGGTCGTGGCAGTGATGGGGGGTGATGGCATTCCTAAGGCTGTGGTGGTCTGGAGCGGAGGCGGCGGCGGCGGCGGCGGCGGTGGTGGTGGTGGGGGGTGGAGGAGGAGGAGGAGTGGTGGGAGTGGTGGATGGACGGGCGCAGCAACTTTCAGCACCACAGCGCCAGTGGACAGCGCCTCGGCTCCCCCCGCGTGCTATGCGCGCAGCCCGCGGTCGGCCACTCTCAGAGGGCGCAGCAAGCGAGGCCGCCTCGGATCATGGAGGCTCGCAGCGCGCTCCCTGTAAGGAGACCCGCGGCCGTGGAGATTGAAGGCAACGGGTAGACATCGTGCTTCAACAGCGGCGGCTTCGGCGGCGGTGACGGCACACGCGCACTGGACCTACGGTACTCGCCTGTTGCATCGGTGGGGTGGGGAGAGGAGGAGAAAGGGCTGTATCGTATGTCGGCACTACACCCAGCGCACTTCCACAACAGTGTGTGTCCAGGGCGGGGGGGGGGGGGTGGAGAGGGGGGGGGGTGGCGCAGCCTCTCTGCCTGTCTGTCTCACTGGCAGTCTCTCTTGTCGCTCGACAGTATCATTCGCGCGCCTCCCCCTTAATAACACACACACACATTCACTCTCTCTCTCCGCCGTGCTGGGAGAGGTGTCCCGCGGGGGGAGACAGCGAGTGAGCACCCGCGAGACAGCGATAGTGAGCGACCCTGCCGACTCCTCGTCCTCATGAACGTTGACTGCTCGTCGGGGTCCAACGTAACATGCCCGCCCACGGCGGAGGAGGAGGTGGAGGAGGAGGTGATTGCGCTGCTGCTGCTGCTGCTGGTGGTGGTGGGAGCCCCGTGTGTGAAGACAACGCACGCTTCGCCCTCCTTGCGCTGCTCATCGTGTGCTACATGCTCTTCGGAGCCGCGGTCTTCTCGGCTCTGGAGCGACCCGCCGAGGAGGAGGCCCGGCGACGCTGGTGCAGCAGGCTGAGCAACTTCACCAGGACTCACGGCGTGAGCGCCGTCGCCATGGAGGAGTTGCTCCGGGACTACGAGGCGGCCAGCCTGCAAGCCGCGGTCGGTGCCGACGAGCTGAAGCCCCGCTGGGATTTTTCGGGAGCCTTCTACTTTGTAGGCACAGTGGTGTCCACCATCGGTGAGCTGCGCTGCATGTCACACGCGGCGGCGGCGGCGGTGTCTAGCGGCGATTCGTTTGCAGCGCCATGGCGGTTCGGAACGAGCGGCACGGCATGGTTAGATTCTAGATTTGAAGCTTTCGTGACTGCAAGGATTCATACTCTTAGTTCTTTCGGTAAAGTCACGTAGGTAAAAAAAATAATAATAATAATAAACATCACGACGTTTCGGAGGCAACACAAGTCTCTGTCATCAGGTGGGACCGTCCCACCTGATGACGGAGACTTGTGTTGCCTCCGAAACGTCGTGATTTTTATTTTATTTTATTAATTTTAATTTCATTTTTTACCTAATAATAATAATAACATCACGACGTTTCGGAGGCAACACAAGTCTCTGTCATCAGGTGGGACCGTCCCACCTGATGACGGAGACTTGTGTTGCCTCCGAAACGTCGTGATTTTTATTTTATTTTATTAATTTTAATTTCATTTTTTACCTACGTGACTTTACCGAAAGAACTAAGAGTAGGCATGGTTAGAGTTGCAAAGCCGCATCCATCTCGTCTTATTTTTGGCCTCGTAGTTTGGATACATCCTAAATAGGAAGATATGACACGATACTAGCAATAGGATTATTATGGATACGTGTACAGTGTCCTAGTGGTAGTGCCTTACGACAATAATTCAGGTTCCAAGCAAGCGTAGCGGGGATCTTCCAGAAACATATTGGGGAGACAAAAAGCCCAGTTAGGCGTCACGATCGCCAAATGTGATGTCTCCGATTTCAGTTTGGTCTCTCCCTGATCCGCGCGTAATTCCAAGCGTGCGTCTTGACAACGTCCTGCTGTGTGCACTTGTAAGCATTGCGTTCGATTTCCTCCGTCAGTGTCAGGAATCAGTCGTACTGAGCGGTGGTTCTTTACCTGGGGAGTGCGAGACATAGCCAAGATTATATTTTTGTTTAGAAGGTAAATGATCGAAACACAAATTAAGCACGAGCAGGTAGGCACGAATACTTTGTTTCTTCAAACCCATGTGTGTGTTAACATTATTAATGTTTAACTGATTGTGAACCAATGGGGGGTGCACGTAAGGCTGCAGTAAAGGTTAAGGAACCACGGCGTTAGAGTTTGGCTGCCGGCCAGCGCGTGCCGTGAGAAGGGCTCGTGGAGGCGTGGGACCACCCGGGGAATGCCGGGGTGGGCACCGGACGAGGGGGAAAGGAAACAAAGACACGGTCAGACAAAGACACGTTCAGACAATGACACGGCCAGACAATGACACGGCCAGACAAAGACACGGTCAGACAAAGACACGGTCAGATAATGACACGGCCAGACAATGACACGGCCAGACAAAGACACGGTCAGACAAAGACACGGTCAGACAAAGACACGGCCAGACAAAGACACGTTCAGACAATGACACGGCCAGACAATGACACGGCCAGACAATGACACGGCCAGACAATGACACGGCCAGACAAAGACACGGTGAGACAAAGACACGGTCAGATAATGACACGGTCAGACAAAGACACGGCCAGACAATGACACGGCCAGACAATGACACGGCCAGACAATGACACGGCCAGACAAAGACACGGTCAGACAAAGACACGGTCAGATAATGACACGGCCAGACAATGACACGGTCAGACAAAGACACGGTCAGACAAAGACACGGCCAGACAATGACACGGCCAGACTAAGACACGGCCAGACAATGACACGGTCAGATAATGACACGTTCAGACAAAGACACGGTCAGACAATGACACGGCCAGACAAAGACACGGTCAGATAATGACACGTTCAGACAAAGACACGGTCAGACAATGACACGACCAGACAAAGACACGGTCAGACAAAGACACGGTCAGACAATAACACGGCCAGACAATGACACGGCCAGACAATGACACGGCCAGACAATGACACGGCCAGACAAAGACACGGCCAGACAAAGACACGGCCAGACAAAGACACGGTCAGACAATGACACGTTCAGACAATGACACGGCCAGACAATGACACGGCCAGACAAAGACACGGCCAGACAATGACACGGTCAGATAATGACACGTTCAGACAATGACACGGCCAGACAAAGACACGGTCAGACAAAGACACGGTCAGACAATAACACGGCCAGACAATGACACGGCCAGACAATGACACGGTCAGACAAAGACACGGTCAGACAATGACACGGCCAGACAATGACACGGCCAGACAATGACACGGCCAGACAATGACACGGCCAGACAAAGACACGGTGAGACAAAGACACGGTCAGACAATGACACGGCCAGACAATGACACGGCCAGACAAAGACACGGTCAGACAATGACACGGCCAGACAAAGACACGGTGAGACAAAGACACGGTCAGATAATGACACGGCCAGACAATGACACGGCCAGACAATGACACGGCCAGACAAAGACACGGTCAGACAAAGACACGGTCAGACAATGACACGGCCAGACAATGACACGGCCAGACAATGACACGGCCAGACAAAGACACGGTCAGACAAAGACACGGTCAGACAAAGACACGGTCAGACAATGACACGGCCAGACAAAGACACGGTGAGACAAAGACACGGTCAGATAATGACACGGTCAGACAAAGACACGGCCAGACAATGACACGGCCAGACAATGACACGGCCAGACAAAGACACGGTCAGACAAAGACACGGTCAGACAAAGACACGGCCAGACAATGACACGACCGGACAATGACACGGCCAGACAATGACACGGCCAGACAAAGACACGGTCAGACAAAGACACGGCCAGACAAAGACACGGCCAGACAATGACACGGCCAGACAAAGACACGGTCAGACAAAGACACGGCCAGACAATGACACGGCCAGACAATGACACGGCCAGACAAAGACACGGTCAGACAAAGACACGACCGGACAATGACACGGCCAGACAATGACACGGCCAGACAAAGACACGGCCAGACAATGACACGACCGGACAATGACACGGCCAGACAAAGACACGGCCAGACAAAGACACGGTCAGACAAAGACACGGCCAGACAAAGACACGGCCAGACAATGACACGGCCAGACAATGACACGACCGGACAATGACACGGCCAGACAATGACACGGCCAGACAAAGACACGGCCAGACAATGACACGGCCAGACAATGACACGGCCAGACAATTACACGGCCAGACAATGACACGGCCAGACAAAGACACGGCCAGACAAAGACACGGCCAGACAATGACACTGCCAGACAATGACACGGCCAGACAAAGACCGTTACCCAAAGAGGTATCGGTCATGGCGGGTTGGGAGTCACGTGGTCATCTTCTCCCCCGTGGTCAGTAAAAGTAGTGCGGCTTGAAGGCGGGGAGCATAGACGTTGGAGCATGAGTGCAATACAATTGACTTTGCTGCACTGCCCTTTGCTGACAACGTAGCCCAGCAGCAGCAGCAGCAGCAGCAGATAGACGCGCGTTTCATGGAGGGGATGGTTGCCCATCCAGGCACTATCCAGGCTGAGACCTGCTTAGCTTCCGAGTATTGACGCAATGGGGCGCATGCTGGGTTCTTCTTGGGTTACGGGCCTTAAGTTTGTAGCTAATTCATATTGGCGTGACTCAGTGAACCGGGTGAGTTTAAACTGTCGTGATGTTCCAGCGCAAGAAGCTGAACTTTGGAACGCGTATACATTCTGTGTTTTTATAAGTGCAGAATAAACATTTGACACGCGACAAGTTACGCCTTTGTGTCCACCAAACATCGATCCCGAATCATCGTTCGCGTCGTTGTGGAGAATATAAACACGCCGAGAATATGTCTCCTTTACAAATCACCCGTCTCTCCGAATAAATAAGAAAATAATTTCTTACGCATCCTATCAGCTGCACGGCCTTCTGGGAGGCCATCACGTCAGCAGCTTTGGTTCAAGACAAGCACATCTCTGAATATTCTGAAGGCTGATTGTGTTTTTTTGTTTTTTTACTTAAATGGCAGGGTCAGCCTAAAGTTGTACGTTGCCTTAGTGTTCGTGCTTATCACTTAAATAAATCCCCGTTGTCAGTGAACCGAGTAATTCCCCTCCCATGGAGCGTGAGACACTAAAGCCGACGGAGATGCACGCAGTGTAAATATGGTTACATCTAAAGGGTACAAGCTATTCGTATTTGTCATACATGCATATGGTTGCCACCTTTTCCACAGAGCGAACCCGCACGTATTTCTCAGTCAGCCAGGGTCTGAATAAAGTTGTGCCAGTATGCTGTGATATTAGTTCAACAAATCCCGGACCAGATCTCAGTGCGAATAAATTTCTGCCACCCGAACACAGATTCCAATTCACAGACTGTGCCGGGTATAGCCTGAAAGTGTTAGAGGCACGGTTAAGGTCGAACAAAACCAGACACGAGTGTAGACACACGTTATAAACATCATATTTTTTTCAACATTTTCTCAATTTGGCCCCGATTCGTGTAAATAAATGCATTCATTTATTATTAAGCAAGTTGCACTTGTAAGAGATGCTGGGGAGAAGTCTTGGCTGAGAAACCAAATTATGAACACAATCGATGTATAATTTAAAGCCCCATGCCAATCCACTCCTGAATAACGGCCTCTCCACACACAATTTTTCTTACTGGTGAAGTATGGTCAAACAACCTCATGCCGTGTCGTTCGTGAGAGTTGCTTCAATCCTGCTTCAACACGCTTGGCCAGTGCGGCTTGGTTAAGCGATCAGGGAGTCCGGGAACCACGTCGGATAATCGCTCGCCCCACGGATGTTAGCCTTGGCCGGGAATTGAACGCATGTGGCCAGGTTAATTATACAGTGTGCGAACCACTGCGCCACAGCTCAGTCTATTGTCTCAGCTTTGAAAATCAACCTGATTGAGTGCAAAATATACATTTTTGGCGTGTGACATTTAATATTGTTTCATCCTAAACACACATTTTTTCTCCCTTCTCAATTGAGGGTTTTCATCGATTTGGGATAACA